TTTTAAATTTATCCCCCACACCTCAACCTCCTGCATTCCGTGAAAACAAACCCAGTCTATCCAACCTTTCTCCATAGCTAAAATCCCCCATACCAGGCAACACCCTCGTAAACCTTTTCCAAAGCATCCACATCCTTCTGCTAGTGTGGTGACCAGAACTGTATGCAATATTCCAAGTGTGGCCTAACTAAAGTTCTATAAAGTTGCAGCATAACTTGTCTACCCTTATGCTCAATGCCCCTTCCAATGAAGGCAAGCATACCATAGGCCTTGTTTACTGCCTTATCTACCTGCGCTCCCACCTTCAGTGATCTGTGGACCTGCACATCCCTCTGCGTATCAATACTACTAATGGTTCTGCCATTCACTGTATAATTTCCATCTGTACTTGACCTTCCAAAATGCATCACCTCACATTTGTCTGGATTAAACTCCGTCTGATATTTTTATGCCGATGTCTCCAACTGACTTATATCTTGCTGTGCAGGGATTCACCTGTACGTCCTCCAACCTGGTCTACTGTATCCATTGCTCCCGATATGGTCTCCTCTACATCGGTGAGACCAAGTGTAGACTTGGTGACTGATTTGCAGAGCATCTGCACTCTGTACGCTATAATCAACAACACCTTCTCGTAGCCAACCATTTTAACTTCCTCCCCCCCCGCCACTCCCTGGGTGACATATCCATCCTGGGCCTCCTCCAGTGTCACAATGACGCCACACGCAAACTGGAGGAGCAGCACCTCATATTCCACCTCAGGAGCCTACAACATGGAATTCACCAGTTTCAATTTCGCACCATCACCGCCCTCATCCCTTATCCAACCCTCCCTCTCTGTTAACTGTTTAACCCTGTATTTTCCTTCACAGATGCTTCCAAACATGCTGAGCTTTTCCAGCAACTTTGATTTTGTTCCTCCCTCTCATCCCTGTCTCCTTGAACTGACACAACCTGTCCATCTTCTTTCTCACCCATCTGCCCCACCCTTTCCACTGACTAATTTCCACTACCCCTTACCTGCATCCACTTATCACAATCCCACCAACCTTCCCCAGCCCCAACCCTCCTCCCTCTATTTATTTCCAAGCCCCCTTCCCCCTCCCCAGTCCTGATGGAGGGAATAAACCCAAAACGTCGACTCTGATGCTGCCTGACCTGCTGTATTCTTCCAGCTCCACACAGTATCAACTCTTAACTCCAGCATCTGCAGTTCTTGCTATGTTCTAGAATTAGGGATTGTATGCTTAGTATTAAAGATTATTGTAACTTTTTTTCCGAATAAAGTTGGGACTGTTTTGCTTTGGTACCGGCATGTATTCATATTGATTTGATCATTTTGGTATTGTGGCACACCTGGGCAAATTCATTCATAACATTCTGGTTGGAGTTGTCTGCAACTTGTTTAAAGAAGAACCAGTCAACACCACCAATCTTTGTATCATCTGCAAACTTACTAATTAGATCAGCCATGTTTTTCTCCAAATCATTTACGTAGACCACAAACAGCAGAGGCCCCAGCACTGACCCCTGTGGAACACCACTAGTCACCACCATCCATTCCGAAAAGTATTCTTCCACCGCTATAGTGTGCATGCACTCAAAACTTGCAAATCATGGCAGTCGGTGTCCAATTCTGATTTGATGTCTGACCCACTATTTTAGATTTTACAGCTCCATTTAAGACCCTCTCTTAAATATACAGAGCTGGATACACTTTAAGAAGCATATGGCATCCAGTCTAATGGTTTGAAAGGTATCATGCTCCAACTTCTGGGGCAATTGCTTTCTATTGCCTAGTTCTTCTGGCTAAGTTAGTGGTAGCACTGGACTATTGCTGGGGTCTTGCAACATTTAAATGTGCAGATCATGATGCTAGATGTTGGCCATACATTGTATGCTTCTCAAAGCCCACAGAGTACACCACTTGTTCCCAAATATGGGGGCTATAGTTGCAGTCCCCCTGCTTTAGAGAGATGAAGCAGTGGCAGCAGAGCAGTGAAGATGCTTGTAGAGGGAGATACAGGAGAGTTCTCAGCAGGAGACCCTACTGTATGTTGACAGCACATTTCCCTTGCCAATACCCAAGCACAAAACCATGTTTTTGTTGTAGAACATGGCTGCTTCCTGGAACCAGACATGCAGGGCAAAACCAATGCCACCAATTGGCTCTGAATTATTTTTGCCAGTGGATCCTTCTAGATTGCAACAGGTACCACTGCAAGCATTATACAATCTGCCATTTATTGCTACAGCCATGGTGCTGCTGCTCAGTGCGAAGATGTATTGAAACAGCTAAAAATACCATTCACTCGATGTGCAGTTGAAATGCAATTATATCAAGCGTACCACACTGGTGAATGGCTTCTCTTCAGTCAGTGATCCCAAGTCTAAGTGATTCTCATCTGCTTTGAAAATGTCATGGATTCTATAACTGTCAGTATTGCAATCTCAATGACAGGAGTCAACTTGTCTGCAAGAAGTCTCCTTTTTTTGTGCTTTGAGTTCGGGCCTAGGGTCCCACTGGACTATTTTTCTATAAAACTTATGGCATCTCTGCAGCTGGTATTGTTTTGTATTTGTATGATTATGTGTGCCGGAATTAAAGGAATTTAGATTCAATCTAAATAAAAGGGCTTTTGTGGTGTAGTTATAGGTCCCCATCTCTAAACAAGCAGATCTGGGTTCAAGTTCTGCCTGTTCCAGATGCATATTTTTGTTTTAAAATAGTCTAGTTTCCTAATCAACTTGTTCAGCAATGTTATTACACACCTCTGGAGTAGGTGGGATGTGAACTCAGGCCTCCTGGTCCATGGGGGCAGGGACACTATCACTGCACCATAAAAGGTCTCCTTCAGACATGTATTATAAAATCCCTGAAAAGTTTGATTAGGAAATTGCTAGTTTAGACAATAGTTAGTTTTTTCTAGTGTAAGAATAAGTGTGTTTATAATAAATGAATTATTTCAGAGTTTAATGAAGAAAATTGATAAGCCTCTTGTTCCGAATAATGATTAATAAAGAGAAACATATTTTGGTGACTGAGTAAAACATTTGCAGTTTTCTTTTAAAAAATATTTACACTTTTATACAGCCTGTGGTTTAGTGAGCTTGATAACCAGTTCACTTCTATCCCAGTCACAACAACTCAACTGGGTTGGCTAAACTTGATATCTGCACTTAATGAGTTGTTTAATTTAGCCCCAGTATCTCTCCAAGTGCTCAGTAATTTTATCCTGGATTTTGAAAGTCATTATTTTACCAAGAAGTGAAGTTAAACAAACTGATCTATATTTTTATGCCCTAGACCATATTTTCTGTTAAGAAAGAAAATATCATATTTGCATCATTCTGGCTGGAATTAGGCTAGGTTTCCAGGTGTTAAGGGATAGTGAAAAGGTTTGCATTAAGTAAATCTGTTCTATAATCAATTTTCTGTTGTTACACATGTCTAAAGCAGGTAGAACTTGAATCCAGGTCTGTTGGCTCACAGGTAGATACTAACCCTGTGACACAAGAACTCTCATCTGAAGGCTACCTGGCTTTCAGAACATTGCTAACAGTGGAAGTGTTCACAAGCAACTGAGTTTCAAGGTTAAATAAACCTTGAGAATACTTTTATTTGAACATTCTCACAATTAATGTATGGTTAACGACTAACTGTATTGCATGCACAACAGAAAAATCCCTGCTTTATTAACTTAACACTAGCCTGCTAGTCCTCTGACAATGACAGTTTGAGAGCCTAATAAAGATTGATGCAAGCTGATGTACAGTGCCTAACGATCCTATGAAATAATACAGCTAGAAAGTTGAATATATGGCAAGATGATAACATGCAGTTAAAAGAAAGAGAAGGCGCAGATATCTGGTTCGTGTGTTCAATGACTGTAACGTGGTTTTTCACAGCCAGGTCTTACGAAAAGGTGGGTGGGTAGAATTATCGTCATTGTTTTTAAACCCCACCCTCACAATCACCCCCACCCCCACCACCCCCCCCCCCCCCCCCCCCCCCCCCCCCC